CTGAGTCTCAAAGCGGTTTACAATTGTTAATTTTTGGGCATTTGTCTCTCACTCCACACAGAGATGGGAGCGGGGTCGCCAGTACAGGAGGCGCATGCCAGAACTATTGGACATATTTTTAGTGGTAGGGGAAACCGGAGTACCCGGAGGAAACCTACGCAGACACGGGGAGAACATGCAAACTCCACTCAGAAAGGCCCTGGTCCGACCGGGATTCGAACCCAGGACCTTCTTGCTGAGAGGCAAGAGTGCTAACCACTCAACCACCGTGCCGCCCCTTAATACATACACACTTAATACATACATTATTTTTGTTGCACAGCAAGTATTTTGAAGTTCATCCTATTGTGATTAAAAGGTGTATTGTAAAAATATTTCCACTAGAGATGGTTGAAAGGCTGAAAGCTGGTTTGAATTGGATTACAAAATACTATATAATACACTATACATTACTTTTATACATTATAGTAATACTGTAAAATGAAATAATTTGTCTAATATAGTGCCGGGCCAACATACAGTTAAGGAGGACTCAAGGCGTGAACACTAAACCAATCCCATTTAACTCAGCTTCAAGAACAAGTCAGTAGATCCTACAGCCATATCGGGTAAAGCAACAGTTATAGCAAATTGTACCAGATTTGTGCTGTTTCCAACCAAATCAAAAAGTATAAAGACACGAGAGATACGGTTTGAGTGATTAAGCTTGACAGAAACAGTGTATCAGGCCAGGACATGTTGAATTATTAATGTGACTGTCGTGAGGTCTCATAACGGATGTGTCACTACAGGGAAGCAGTGTTGAATAAAGTGAAGTTAAATATGTAAAATGCTGAATATTAAATCATCGACAAATGTAAAGTTAATTATTTCAGCTCTTGGAAGTCTGAATGTAATATGCTCTGATTTATACTTTTCACAGAGGTAGAATGTTATTACTGCTTCTTAAAGGGGGGTGTTGAGAAATCTGGTCTTCATGGTCCTCAAACTGGTCCTCAAACCAGGCCTTTGGCTGAAGGTTTTCATTCCAACAATGCAGCACGCCAAGTAAATGTATAAATAATTGCATTTTTGATTAATATACAAAGATTGGCATGGATGTTAGTTTAGAGATACCAGCTGTTTTGATAATAAGTTACACCCACTAGTGACTAGTAGTGATGCAGTGTTTTATTTATTTATTATTTCTCAAGAACTCACAATGCCATTTGTAACCTCAACTGATGTTCGCAAACTTTTCAAACGTTTTTCATGTCCCTCACTTGCCTACTGGAGATCATTTGTTTCCAATGGAAAGTCTAGCCTACATTATAATGAACTCATAATGAACAAAGTGTGCAGTGCTATTTTCACTGTTTGCAGTGAAAAAACAAAGATGATCAATATTGTTAATATAACTTGTGTAGAACAAAAAGAGCTTTCTGTGCCCTGAAACAGAAGATGTCTTTGAAATAAAGTTAGACCATAGTCATTCAAACACTATCATTGTGATTTAGTTTCAGGACCAAATGTACTAAAAGTAGTGTAACTTACCTAACACTGGCTTTTACCCAATAAACATGTTCCAAGGACTTTAATGGACACAACCTGTACTTTCTGTGGTTTGGACTCTCAAACATGTATCTCCTGTAGTCATTCCCTCTCCTGCCATCTCCTGGTAACAATTTGTAATTGATGTATAAGAAATATATATGATCCAACACATTTTTTTCCAAGATGTTGGTTCTAGACTGTTCCTGGACTGGTTCTTTACTGGACTGAGCCAGAGAAGAGCAAGTGCTGGTTATCATAGCAACATACCATTTACTGTCAGCAGTTGACATTTATCCTTTCAACAACTTGTTTTTGCTGTATTACAAGTTACATTCACCAATTTCACCACTGTGAGTAAAGGTACAAAAATCGAAATCAAAAACTGGTGGAAAACTAAACATTTTGGGGAATATCTCAGAATTCCATTGGTTTGAAAGGGAGCAGTCAAATGGTAGATTCAGAATTGTGGCACTCATAGTGTTAAATATTTACATCGTTTTGCACAGTATAGCAATGCTTGTAAGATCTTTTTCTTTTTAATTATATACATAGCTTGCTTATCCAATGTAAGGAAACTTTCCTAACATACAATAACCATCAAGGGAATAATAATAATACATAATGCAGAAACAATACAACAACAAATGCAACCTTATGTGAAAAATGAGTTTATTACAACAAACACCAGTCACTGTAGAGTATGTAACAGTGTCTTCTACAAACTGGATGCAATATAGCATCAAATATATTAAAAAAGAAATCCATATACTTTAGTTAGATACAGTATCTGACCATGCTGAACTCCAGGGAAAAGACATTGCATAATGATGTGCTGTACTTCTTTTGCATAATGAAGCACTGTACAAAACCAACATTCTAACATTGAACAGGACATATCAGGGACAAGTTATTGCCATGAGTGGTACAACTCCAAAGCAAGATTCATAATGTACATCGGTCATAGTTCATACATCATACTGCAGTAGACAGGAAACATAAAACCATAAGACTTCATCTGTCCTAAGGCAACAGAGACATGAGACAAGACAGGAACTCAGCTGCCATGGAATATAGTATTGTAATTTCACCTTAGAGTTAGAATTGAGTAGTTGGATTTTTGTTGTAAACAGAACATTTGAAACATTTAAAAGTAAAAGTACACAAAACATTGGAAAAGAGAGGAAGACTTGTATTTCTGGTATATGTAACAGAAGAGAACAAAGCTGAACAAGGCACAGGTTTTATAATACATTTTGAATAACCCATAGCTTATTGATCTGCTTTACTAAACATTAAGAAGTGTTAGTATGTAATCAAAGGGGTTTGATTATCAATGGTAGTCATCAGGTTATATAAGATCATTAACATGGACAATCTTACTCAATCGTTATACTTTTGACTATGCACCATACGAATGGGTTTAAAATGAATTAAGATGTGCTTTAACCGCAGTGACACAGTGACAGCTTACGTCTCCCACTTAAGGGTTTAAAGTATAAGGACAAACTAAGAAAAAGTACCAGACATTTGCAAATGTTTTGCGAGGTTGGATGGTATAAAAATCACCAGACAGTGTCATTTCATGGTAATTCTCTGCCAGGCAACTATCTTCTGCGCTCACATGTTCACAGAACATTTCTTCCCCAGTTTTGTATTCAGAAAATGAAAAGCATGCACAAGATGACTCACTCCAGCCCCCCATCATCACCCAACACATGAGGAAAGGCAGTCCTGACCATAATATGGTCAATATTATAATCCCGACAAACCAAACATTAACCGTTGGAGATAGCCCATCAGATCTCAGTTGCTATCCAGGGAAGGGCCTGGTCAGCACTATTATGAGAGACCTCTGAGAATGATGGGTGCCACAGTGGGACCGTTGTTCTGGCTTGTATTCTAGAAGATTAAGGAGACAAGGAGAGCCGAGGACAGAGGATACTCTGGGACCTTCATCTTTTGTCTTAGTTCAGTCGTGATGACCAATGACTGATTACATTATTGTATGATGTACAGATTGCTTGGATGATAGTACAAAGCCCTGTTGCTAGAAGCAGTGTTGGCAACTGACCCTGTCATTTTGGACCCTCCAAACATTACGCATATACTGTTCACCCAATAAAGATTGAGATTAAAGAAGCTATACCCGATTTTCTTTTTTTTTAAATGAGTTCATAAAAATGTTTATTACTACATACAAGTTGTATTATAATCCGTAATTTAATTGAAAACTTGAGCTATTTAGTTAAACAATAGCAGAATGGAGGCAGAAAGTGCCTATATACCTGCTCTGGCTGTAACTGCAGACACAGCAAAACAGCCCGAACAATGTAACAGTGAGGAAGAGAAGAGGGAACTAAAGCGAAAAAAATATTGAAGAAGAAATTAAGGCCGGGTGAACATAGCTAGCTTACATTGTATCCTCTGGAGAGACTTGTCTATGGGAGAGACCTGCGGGACCGCCTCGGACTATGTCGACACGAAACTAGCAGTAATCTTTCAGTTATATATTTTGTTAGCAGTGCGTTGCTTTTGTACCATTTCGTCAGTGATTGTTGTACATCTTAGGTTGCGCTCATGCTAATGTTTGCACATGTATCAGATCGCAAATAAAACTAGACGGCTTCGTGCGGTGAGAGTGTAGGAGAAATGACAGACCTGTGAGCAAGTTGGGGGGGCGGTGCTATAAATTCAAATCTTGCAAAAACGGGTATAGCTCCTTTAAAGAAACATTGCAGTTAAAACACTGCAGTTAAAACACATATTGAATGTTTATGGTGGTTTGTAAATTAAATAAGAACCGTGTTGATGTCTTAACAACTGGATTGGCAGATGCATCAGTTGCCAATTCTTGTGGATTTCAACAACAGGAGAATACAAACTAAACTCATAAAATGTGCTTCACATTATTACGCCTGTAACCTCAGTCTACCACTGAAGCATGTCAGGTAAATAACCAAAACTAGCTTCTCTACACTTTTATCTTATTAAAAGAACCTTCTAAGCCTCAACATGTATGTTTTACATTTATTATAACTCAGTATTGCAAGTGATGCTTACCAAAACAATAAATTGATTAGAAGTCAGTTTTATAGAACATTGATTTGTCCTGAGTGATCAGCTTGACTGCTGACTACTTTTAGAACAGTATCACTCCTACATAAAGTTTGATTAAAACTGCAAAAAGAAACGGTTAAAACATGACTGGCGGGCTTCTCTCACTGTCATTTTCAAAGAAAAGTGAAGTATGTTTTAAATAGAATGTAATATTGTGGAAGAGGTTAAATTATTTTAATACTTAATTAAAAATAAATAAAAAACTTGTATTATGAAAATAGAATAGGGGTGTGCACATCAGCAACACAGCCATAATCTCCATAAAGTGTCACACCTTAAAAGAGCATATAAAATATATCCTGGGGTGCAGCATGTGACATCACGTCTAAGAATTGAGATGATTGTTCTGGTTAACATTCAGCACGCACACAAGGCAGCTCGTGGTGCTGGGGCAGAATAGTGCATTCTTCAGACGAACTTTCCTCTACCTCTACTTTAGACTCTTCACCCTGTTCCTTGTGGCAAGTCTTTTCCCGTAAACTTTTAGACGGTGGACCAGCGCAACAGGGAGAATTGAGATCACTGGTACTGTGTGAAGAATGGTGTGAGCGCTTTAGCGGAGGAGAGGATGTGGATTCTATTTGGCTTGGTAATGCTTGTTTTTCATTACGCAAATCTTCTGAGGAGAGCGACATCTCTCCACAGTCAGGGAAATCCTGTGTAGAGGTAGGGAAAGAAGGTTTATACAAACCCAGTGTCTGCTCCAGAGAAATGCTGGATGGAACGGTAATGTCTTTGCCCTGGAAAAAAAGGAATACATTAGTGTTGTATAGAGAATAAAAATACACTGAACAACATTTTTTTTTAGTAAAATTATGAAAATGACAATGAGTACTGATGATATAAACAGACTATGCAGACAGACATGATTCCTGCAGCTCACTTGCAAGCTGATATGCACTCATTGTCTCCCTCTAGTGGCAAATATCACCACTACTCTGATAAAGAGCCATACTTTTGACGCAACCGATGTCAGGTTTACTGGGATGAAATAATAACTCAAAAAATAATATTCTGGATAACTTGTACTATAGGTTAATAGTTCTGAATTTTTTTTGTAGAATTTAGCATTCACCTCACTACCACTCCAGGCATGTCCATCCCTCATGTTCTTCTCCAAAAATCTCATCCTCTTCAAAAAAAATGCCATCCTCATTCTCCGCCTGTTAGCCCCAGAGACAGAGAAGCACCACTTGTCACAGCTTCCACTAAATGTAATGACTTCTGGGATTTAAGAGGGTTTTGAATGTTGAGAAGATAATAGTTAAAGAAACAAACAACATCAAAGACTGAGCTGGAATACATTGACAGATACAATGGTTAGCAGAAGACACGACACACATATTTCAGTATTGTTCCATTGTCAGAGTGGCAGCAACCACCCTACATTTGGAAAATAACTGCCATGGTGAAAATCCCTCATGAAAAATGAGTAACAGAAAGTAGCAGCACATACCTTTGGAATCTCACACGTGTTGTAAGTTGTCCCAGGATATGGGACGTGATCAATCCCTGTGGCCATGTCCACAACAATCTCATCTCGATGCATGGGGATCGGAAGGCCGCCACGCTCGTGAAGGGCCAAGACGATAACAGTTGTGTTGTCGGCTCGAAGCATACGCTCTTTCCAAAACAAAAGTGCTGTGCAGCCCAAGCGCCTTGCACAAGACATAGCCTTTGGTCCCTGGTGATAGAAAAAAAGGTACATTAAAAACCATAGACAGTGTAAATTAAGTTTAAAACCACACTGTAAAATTGTACATGGAAAAAAAGAGATTAGCTATTATATCCAAAGTTTCCATGGAAACAAGAGAAACTTCCTTCAGGAGAAGGAAAAGTCAGTTGTTTTTTTTTTACTTTTGATCAGAAGGATGAATATGGTCCTACTTCAGAGCAAAACAATGAATACCAAACGCAACACTCATGTTTACAAACATGTTCTTTTGTTTTTCTGATTTGCATGTAAAACTGCATACATACAGTAGACATAGACAACTTCAGTTAAAAAAATACATACCACCATTTTGTCATGGCTATAGCACATATTCACTGCATTCTTGGGCGGCATCATGTTCCATAGGCCATCACTGCCAATTATTATATAGCGATGCTTTTTTGGATCTAGTGTCATCATAGTTGTATCAGGCTCTGGCGAAACCACAAATTCTCCACTGTAGAAATCGTAACTCCAAAGATCACCTAACACAACAAACCAAACAGAAGTATAGAGATCACCATCCTATGGCAAATGCTTCATGTTGTACATTTATGATCATATGACTGAAAGTTACCCAACGAGCGAGCTACAGCCAGGAAGGGAATCTGGTCAATTACTGTACTTCTTCTCACTGGGCCATTATGAGTCAGTCTGGGTCTTTTCCACACAACTCTGTTCACTCCAGATTTCTTCATGACACTAAAGATGTATACAATGCATTTTAACAATGTGTATTTCTATGACTCAACACTAAGCAAGGTTAATTTGTTTTCAGTAAGTCTGTAAACGCTATGTGTAGTATTTAGAAAACCATATTGGCAATGGTTTTCTATCCATTGTTACCAAAAGCTTTATCTTTAGGTTACCAACTACTGTAAAAGTATCATTCCTTAAACCAGCAGCCTACCTGCCTCCCAGTCTCTCAATCCTTTCTTTTTCCTTTGGAAGTTCTGGTTTGTGATCTTGTGTCAGTTCAAAGGCTTCCAGGGCAATATCAGAGTCATTTGCCTTCACTCCAACAACAACTGCAGAATCCCCCACGTGGGCTACATACATGTGAAGTCCGCGTATCACCACAACACTGGCTGTGGTTCCTGATGTGCTGGGCAAACCTGTGAGAGTTTTGGGCCACTTAGCTAAAGTATATGAGAGAAAAGACAAAAGAGGGACATAACACGCTTATAAAAAGCACAAGCAATTTCAAAGCAGAAAAGTACAAGCATAGATCAGAGTAGCACATTGTATGTATGATAATGGATTTGAACATTACAGAATGTATGTAGAATGGATAAAAACATATTGCAATCAACAAATCCAGCCCAACACTTACGCAGTTCTTTCCACATTGCGTGATGACAAGCTATGAAGGCTTTGCGTAGTGCAGCACAGACTTCACTGTGGTCTTGAGACCAAAATCCTCGTTGTCGCTTTAGTAGACTCCATAGGTTTGCTCTTGCAAACTGTGCTGCTTCTCGGCCTCCGTGGCCATCGAACACGGCAAAAAATGCTACCGATGTCCTTGTGTTTACTACATGATGTGAGGTCATTGGCTCCTGTGTCGGCGCGCTGTTATTACCACTGTCCTCTTTCAGGAGACTCTCGACCCACATAGCAGCAGCAGAAGCCTGGCCGCTCTCGGCCATATGCTCCCCGTGTCCATGCGTGCCCGCCACAAAGGCTTTCTTTGATTCATCGTCATTCAAGTGTCTGTCCTCTTCGTTAGATTGTGATTTTGAGTCTTCTTCAACCGACGATGTTGTTGTAGGTTCGTACTCAACCCTTATATCGACAACATCCTCCATGTATTTCCTCCCTCCTTGTTCTGAAAAGGCGCTCATACGAAATATTATCGTGTCGTCCATGATGGTGGAGGACTAAAACAGTTTGGCTGCACAACACAAACGACCATGTACTCACGGAATGAACCCTAAATGCAGTATATTTAAACCGATTTTACCGCGGCGGTGTGACCCCCCGAAGCTTCCTTCCTTTTTGTTTATCTCCTCAAAACGTCCCCTGTACGTAATGACGTACGTTAGATCACGTAGGAACATACCACAAATTAAAAAAAAAGCAGAACAATCACCTATTTAAGTTTTGTTGCTGATATACAACAACTTTTTTGTTACTTTTTTAATGGTATATTTGATACTGTAACAAAGAGGAATAATCATTTCAGCACGGAGCAAAACAGTGGGCGGCGCTTTCAGGTTCCAGAATAAAATTACCCCATATCTCCAAAGGACTTTAAAAGAATCTAATATCAAGAGTTTAAAGACAGGACCGAGTCAAACTACTATCCACAGCGCGGTCATTTCAGCCGAAACCATAAATAACAACACGTCTATAGTTCAGTACTAGTAAGTTTAAAAACATTTCAAAAACTTACTTATGGTCTTGTAATCACGACTCACCAGATAGCTGATCAGCCTTGGCCAATTTAGTGATGTTTTAATAAAATTCCCCATGCATGATAGGAAACTTAACTTGAATTTGTATCTATATATTTTTTTTTTCACTTAACGTTTATCTATTATTATTGCACCTTCCTGCCCCTCCTGACCAGCTCGTTCAGTCTAGGTTATACAGTAATAGTTGAAAGGTATAAAAAGTTCAAATTGATATGGTTGTTCACAAAAATCTACTATACTATCACAATCGTTACAATTAAACTTTACGTCAACATGTATTGTAATTTATTTTAATGTGTCGCTTGTTTTCTAGTGTTTTGATTGTTACAGTCTATGGAAGAGACCCATAACATCGAAATTTCACCACTGTGGGACGACTAAAGGAATTCTTATCTTATCTTATCTTATGAATCCAGCCCTCTCATCTGCACCCGTGTACTGGTCTCCTCTGGCCCGGACCCATGGGCTGCACCCCCATCACTGCCTGAGAGCTTCTTCAGTCCTGCGAGTCGCGACGCACGCCCTCAGTCCTTGTTTTACAGCCTGAGTCCTGGATTCATGGCCTGTCCGTTCATGGGAGCAGATCCCTCTCTCAATGTGGGCCTCTCAGAAGGTTTCTGGCGTTTCTTGCCGATATAGGAGGGTCGAAGGATACACTGCTAAGGCTTACTGTACTATGCTACTGTAAGGCAAGGCAAGGCAAGTTTATTTGTATAGCACAATTCCTATACAAGGCAACTCAAAGTGCTGAACAAAATAAGAAAGCATTAAAAATAATCAAAGACATTAAACAGAAAGATAAAAATATAAAATCCCTCAGTTGTATGCACACTGCACAGCTAAACAGAACTGTTTTTAACCTGGTTTTAAACATTGTCAGAGAGGAGGCCTGTCTCACATCTTCAGGAAGATTGTTCCAGATTTTAGCAGCATGAATCTGAAAAGCAGCCTCCCCATGTTTAGTTCTGACTCTGGGCACTAACAGGAGTCCAGTCCCTGTGCTCCTCAGAGTCCGGGCTGGTTATTATGGTACTAACATGTCACTAATATATTTTGGTGCGAGGCCATGGAGAGACTTGTACACAAGCAGAGCTGTTAAAATCTATTCTCTGAGCCACAGGAAGCCAGTGCAGAGACCTGAGAACTGGACTAATGTGGTCGTACTTCCTGGTTCTAGTCAGGACTCGAGCTGCTGCATTTTGAATGTACTGCAGCTGTTTTACAGCCTGTTTGGACAGACCTGTGAGCAGGCCATTGCAGTAGTCTAACCTACTGGAGACAAATGCATGGATAAGAATCTCAAAGTCTGCTTTAGACACTATGTTTTTGATCCTGGCAATGTTTTTCAGGTGGTAAAAAGCTGCTGATGTTACGGATTTGATGTGGCTATTAAAATTTAAGTCCAGTATTACCCCTAGATTTCTGACTTTGTTTGAAGGTTTTAGGGAGAGAGACTGTATGTGACAGATGACGCTCTCTCTTTGTTTCTGGGGACCAAAGACAATCATTTCAGTTTTGTCTGCGTTTAGCTGAAGGAAGTTGTTTTGCATCCACTCACTGATCTGTTGGATACAGTGAAGGAGTGAGTCCACTGGTCCATGTTCTCCTGCAGTCAGTGAGACATAGATCTGAGTGTCGTCTGCATAGTTGTGATAGGACACTTTGTTTCTGCGTATTTACTGACATAACGGCAGCATGTAGAGATTGAACAGAATAGGTCCCAGGATTGACCCCTGTGGTACTCCACAGGTCAGGGCCATATGATCTGAGACACAGTTTCCAATCTCCACAAAGTACTTCCTGTCTTCAAGGTAAGACCTAAACCAACTTAGGGCGGTGCCAGCGACGCCAACCCAGTCCTCTAGTCTCTGTAAGAGGATCTCATGGTCGACAGTGTCAAAGGCAGCACTTAGATCTAACAGGATTAGGATTGAGACTTTGCCTGCGTCAGTGTTTAGCCGGATATCGTTTGTAACCTTAACGAGAGCAGTCTCAGTGCTGTGGTGGGGTCTAAAGCCGGACTGAAACATATCAAATGAGTTGTTGATTATAAGTACATCCAGGCTGCATGTGGAGGAGCTCAGATTTTTGATTATCTCTTAAGGTGCAAAGTGAGTTAGCTCAAAGAGCCTTTCTGGCTGTTGGATTGTTATCTGTGGATTAGAGACGATGGCGTTTTTGATGCCTTGAACCTTGTCATTGAAAAAATTTGCAAACTCATTACATTTACGTTTGCAAGTTAGCTCTAATGGCAGCTGAACAGGGGGGTTTGTTAATCTATTAGGTGTTGAAAAAAGAACACACAGATTTTTACTGAAGCCTTTAATCATTTCACATGACAACTGATTTTTTAGTGGAATAAAAAAGACGTAATGCATATTTGACCATTTTGTGGAAACATAAACTCCAGTGTAATTCTTCTTGTTAACCTGCTTTTATCTAAAATTGTTAATTTTTTTCAGCTTAATTGAAACAATCTTGCCCACATATCTGTGCAGTTGATTGAAATAGAAAGTTTCACTCCCCCGCCCATCCCACTCATCTTTCTAGACTGTTTTCTTATGTCCAATTTTAGTGCATCCCTCTGAGGAGTCCTGACTCCACATGGGCCTCTGTTGCAGATGAAGAGGAAGTGATTTCCATGTAAATGCTGTCAGAATGTCATTTTCAGGTGAGGCTGCTGCAAGAAAGGATTGCTGAAGACGACAAAGATTACTAAGGGCCGGTGACACGATTGCATTCTCAGAGTCCCCATGCAGAACTGTTATAATGGCCCATCAATGAAAAACGCTTTGTCTGGCTCCCTGTGTAGATGCTCAAGTGTCAATCAGCCTTACTTTAGAAAATAATAGAAGGAACAGGAGTGAAGACATTTTCATATAAATTTATGCTAATACAATCACTGGTTATTTCTGTTGAAGCTACAGTTACGTCTTTAAGGCAGTAGCTCAGAAGGTTGATCTGAGTGTGTGCCCTACAGATTTGAGGTGTCCCATCAATAAACCAATTAGTAATAGAAATGCATTTGTATAACACAATTTGTCTACAAGGCAACCTGAAGTGCTTCACAACAAAAAGAGAAACAATACAAAAAGCAACAAAATCATAAGAATTATCACATTATGAGAGAAAAACTTCAAACTGTTAAATCAGTACAACATGGCCTTTTCCATGTGCACATTAGTCTTGCAGAAGAGACGATGCTTTGTTGCCAAGCTTATAGAATTGTTTCTTTCCCCTGCATGGTGGATCTTCTGAGTAGTTTACGGTGCCTCTGGGCATGTCCATACTCTGGTTTATTTTAGTTTGATCAATCCTGGTTCACTTGGGGCAAAAAATACTACCTCTGCCCACGAGGTAAAGTGATCGCCTGCGTTTGTTTTTTTGTTTGCTTGTCTGTGAGCAACATAACTCAAAGGGTTACGGTAGGATTTGGAAAAAAATTATTAAGGAAACAAATTAATATACATATAGATTATTGTATATACAGTAATGTATATAACAACTCTTCTGCGTTATGTGAGTGCTTTTATAGTTTGATAAAGTCAGTTTGAGTATTTTTTTCCCACGTGAACCAGACTTGGTCCAGTTAAAGTGAACCAAACCAAGAGAGACGTGCCCTCACTTGGGCATTCTGGGCACTTAGGCAGCATTCTTTGTAGTGTGCAGCGCATTTCCTCTTTAGATGTTATCAATTCAATGTCACACTCTCAAGTCTGTACCTGTCCGCATGATAGATGACCAAGATATTGACTGGAGGTTAATTCAAAAGCGCACTGCACAGTGAGATGAGGGATCTTGATAAGAAGAGGTCTGATAGGTCTGATAGAGTGCAGCTTGAAAAGAAAATTGTTTCAGGCCACGTGGCCAAATGCTCACCTTTGGAATGCGTCCAGCAAACGTTGGAATGCATAAACAAAACCTTTAAAATATGACTGGATCTTTGTGTAACTGTAGATGCTTAAATCCCAAATAAAGGTTTTTGGCAACTTCAGCTTTCTAGATGTTTGTAAAATGTATATTTGTGATTTACAGGTCAAAGTCCCTTTACTTCTGCAATTCAAATTACAAGTTGTATCAAGACTTTATGTAGAATTATTGTTTCACAGCCCCTTTACAAACCCCAAATAAAAGATTGCAGAAAATGTTTTATTTATTTCATAATCGTCAAAATTATTACAACAAACTCTTTGTGTATGTGTATTGAGCCTATATCATGTACAGTATTAGTGTCACAAATTAAAAGTTCAATTACAGAAATAAAATTCCCTGGAGTTAGCACAAGTTTTACAAGTTTGTAATCATATATTTTTTATACATTTAAATGGGTTTTTATAAATATATGTTTTATAGTATTATAACTTTATGATTAGTTCAATTGTACGATTAAATCAAATATTGCAGTCCTGAATTGCACATTATCTTGCATTTATTAAAATGGAAATTTATTT